GTTTCCTGCCTAGGCAGGGGGTTGGACTAGAAGACCTCCAAGGTCCCTTCCAACTCTGCTATTGTATTGTATCTCTCTCACAATTTGTATTATTGAGCTAGGTACCACATATTCTGTATCTATGCATTTGACTTTGGATAGGACCCAGTGCTCAAGTCTGTCAAGACCCTTCTGATTCTTGGGTTTATCTTTTAAAGTATTGGCAGTTCCTCCACCTTGGTGCCATCTGCAAATTTGATGAGTTACTATTTTATCCCCTCATCTATATCATTCATGAAGATGTTGAAGAGTACTTGGTCTAAGACAATATCCCTCTGCATGATTCCCTCCATGTAAATGTGGTTACTACACATTGAGTGTAGTTTGGCAGCCAATTACAAATCCATCTGGTGATGATGCTGTCTATCCCACCTTGTTCAGTCTTACCAAGAAGTAGGCTGTGGTCTACTTTGTCAAATGCCTTATTTTTAACAAACCCATTAAGAAGAGCACCAGGAGTGAAGCCTCTTCCAGTTTTGGGTTCCGTTTTATCAAGAACATGCATTTCTTTAAACATTAAGATTCAGTCACTCTGTTCAGTGCATGGATTCAGCTAACCTTCTTTCCTGCCCCTTGAACATAGGACTTTTAATGCATATCAAGGACATGCAGTGTGTAAATCAAGGCAACTTAAACCATTAGAATGATTACAACCATCATTACTCATCCCTGCTTCTCCTTCTTCTCGTTTTTTTTTTGTCTTGCAATCTTCCTAGCAAGAAAGTATGTGCATTAAAGAAGAAATGAAAGAATCTTAGGGGCCCTTTTGGTAATTTGTTTCCATTGTTAATCCAATCTATTCCACCACCACCTTCCCATAATGTTATGGTTCATACCAGAATACTTTTCTACACAAATATTGGAGCAGTTTGGGATGGGAAATTTGACATGATGATAACAAAGCTTCAGGCTAACCACTGTGCCTTGCCTGTGATTCTCATCTTCTCAGAAACCTAAACCCTCTGCGTTACCCAAAGCCTAAAAGTGTGCCTGAAAATAAAACCCCTCCAGGCAAGAGAACAGAAGCTCTGTTCCACTTCACCTTGCTCCTAACATGCTGCCAGATTCTTTGTAGCTACAAGGGATTATGAGGCTGCTCAAACCTAAAAGAAATTCAGTGAGGTAACTCAAAAATGATGCGCAGGATATGTTCCCCACTCATTAATCCCCGTTTTCAACACATTTGAGGAGGAAGGTTTGCTACTGTTCTGCTCTGCTATTTGTATGCCTCCCACTCAGATCTTTGAAGGCAGCATACAGCTAACAGCTCATTCATTCATTTACTAATTTTTGGTCCCTTCAAATCAGTTTTGACTCTGGGACTGCCTGAACTAGTCCTTGCAGTTTTCTTGACAGGATTTTGGAAGTGGTTTGCCCTTGTCTCCTTTTGGGGCTGAGAGAAAGGGATTGGCCCAAGGCCACCCAGCTGGCTTTGTGCCCAAGGTGGGACATGGTCTCCCAGTTTCTAGCCTGATGCCTTAGCCGCTATACCAGTCTGGGTCTATATCAGGAGTCTATGGGGCTGAAACCTCTTAAAATAGAAGACTTAAGTGAAACATGGCAATTAAGTCATTGTGTGCATCATCTTACCTTAAAATTATTATCATAGCACTTTGAGAGATGCTATAATCCAGATGTTAGCCCTTTTTCAGGGATCCCTGCATAATTGGTATGGTTGAATAGCTCACACTGTGCTCCCCCTGGAAGGGAATTCTGATGGAATTAGTCCACCTTTTGCCAATCACCAGCTTCAACCTGCTGGAACTAACAGCTGCTTATTCCTTTCACCACACCCTGCTGTCTTCAGTAAAATCAATGAAATATGCATTATTTATCTTGTTTTCCAGTGACACAGACAATTAGTTTATGAATTAACTAAAGTAAATCTGTCTAGCTCTGTTGTGGCTTTGGGGACTATTGTCACCTGTGGGTTTAGACGTCTTGCTTAATTTGTTCAGTGTCTGTTGTACAAATGCATTAATTGTGGAGCCAAGGAGGTCTTTGCTGACAACGGGTTGAAGTGTGTTCTTTCCACCCTTAACCCAACCTTCTCCATTAGAAAAGGCCCCTTCCTTCTCAGCTGCTTTATGGATGATCATTCTAATGGGTACCACCAAGACACCAATAAAGGGGGATATTTGTAGCTCCTTGGTGCTCTCGGAGCTTGGGTGTTTTCAAGCAGACATTTCATTACCCAAACTAGGTAACATAGGCAGTACTAGAAGGGAGGAGGGGGAGCAGCAGCAACAACAACTGTGGGGTCCTTGGTGTTCTCTGAACTTAGTTGTTTTCTTGCAGACTTTTCATTCCAAGATGATGTTTACCTAGTTTGGGTAATGAAACATCTGCAAGAAAACCACCAAGCTTAGAGAGCACCAAGTGTCCCTCACCAGCAAGACAATCCTGGGGACTCTTACCTGCTAGTAAAAGGGATCAGAATATCTAAAATAGATCCAAGATACCACAATCCAGCATATTAATGGGATAAATTTTCTTTAGGTTATGGTTTTTCTACTTTGCAAAGACCAAGAGAAGTAAAGTTGGAAGAGATATTTGATAGTACCAATATAATCTTCTCCATGTTATTTATTTTATATTTTCATCACATCAAACACAATGGAAAAAAAGGATTGCACACATAAACAGTGTTACAAAATTTAGAGAAATGAAAGAAGACAACAAAAACATTTTGAGTTGCGAGAAGCCTGTATTTTGACTATTTAAACTCAGAAATGCTTAAGTATTATTATTTATTAACCAGGATTAACAATTAAGGTTTTTTTTTCATCTGATACTTTCTACACATTGGGAAGTACAATTTACATGCACCTCAGGGGTGGGTTGCTGCTGGTGTTATTGCCGGTTCACTTCGTGTGTGTATGCGCCCTCTGCATATTGCTTGCGCATGCACAGTTGCCTGTAAATTTGTCTGTGCATGCACAGAACATTATTAAATGACTAAAAAACATGCCGGCAAAGATATGGGTGACTGGGGAACTGGTTCAGGAGCGTGGCCAGTCTGCCACCCCTACCGGTTCAGCGACCCAGTCCCAATTTTCACTACCAGTTCGCGTGAATATTTTTGTTTTGGGGTGCTTTTAAAATTACATTTTTAACCACTCTATATTTTTATATTATATTCTCCATATCTGACTACTTAATTACAAAGAGGTTTGTAGCTTTTTTTGAAAAAATAATGTATGCGTTTATTTAGACCTTTCTAGATTAGTCTGCCTGCTAAAGGAGATGGGTACTGGTTTCAGGTTTATAGCAATAGCAACAGCACTGAGACTTATATACTGCTTCACAGTGCTTTACAGCCCGCTCTAAGCAGTTTACAGAATCAGCATATTTTCCCCAACAATCTGGGTCCTCATTTTACCCACCTCAGAAGGATGGAAGGCTGAGTCAACCTTCAGCCAGGTGAGATTCGAACTGCTGAATTGCAGGCAGCTGCCAATGAGCAGAAGTAGCCTGCAGAACTGTATTCTAACCACTGCACCACCACGGCTCAGGAAATGGTGCTAATGGTTTGTTTCATTATTTTCTTTATACCAAGGCTGAGGGAGGTCTATCTCTCTCATCCACTCAAATTAGGAATAGTATCTCAGGTGAGGTGCCCTCCCAGAAGATGGTAGGTAACAGCAGGAACTCAGGTGTTCAGAGCCAGAGGCATTGAGGGAATGGAGGAGATTGGGGGGTGGGGTGGAACTGCCAGACTTCAACCCTGTCACTCTAGCAGATAAACATGTCCTGCTATTTCTAGCATGACAAATTGTGGGGCATCTGTGAATAAGGGTAAAAAGTGGGCCTTCTCATGAAAGAAAAAAAATGGCCTTGCAAAAAAACTGGATCCAATACAGGTAGTAGTCCTCAAGTTACAACAGCTCATTTGGTTAATGTTGGAAGTTACAACGGCACTGGAAAAAGTGACTTGTGACCTTTTTTCACACTTTTGACCATTGCAACATTCTCAAGGTCACATGATCAAAATTCAGATGCTTGACAGCTGACTCATATTTATGACGGTTGCAGTGTCTGGAGGGGGTGTTACGTGATCCCCTTTTGCTCCTCTGGATTCACTTAACAACCGTGTGGCTAACTTAACAATTGCAGAAATTCAGTTAACAATTGTGGCAAGAAAGGTTGTAAAATGGGGCAAAAATCACTTTAAAAATGTCTCATTTAGCAACATAAATTTTGGGTTCAGTTGTGGTCATAAGTCAAGGACTACCTCTAAAGGCTAAAGTGGATAATCTGCATGTGTTTGCTTCTTAGGAACATGAAGAAAAGTTCCAGATATTTTTTAATATGTTATCCTTCAAATAATATAGTCCCTCTCCAATACCTTTGTGGTGGTTGTTAAGAGAGACTCTTGTTCCCTTAAGAAACTGCTCACCAAGACAATTTGATATTTTAACCGAAGCTCAAGAGTGGCCCCTCAAGAGGCGTCATTGCTTGGCTAACTTACTCAGGATCAGATACTAAGCACTGCCAGGACAGGTTAGTCCTTGGACAAGAGATCGCCACAGAATCCTGGGGCTGCAGTGCAGTCTAAAAGCATCCCTGAAGGAGTGGGAAAGCGCTTCTATATGGTGGCCAGAAAACATCAGAGATGTGGCATCACTAGGAGCTGAGCTACTTTACCTAAAGGAGATGCAGTTGTAAAATCACACCCAGATCTCTGTGGAGATTCTCAATCATACAGGTCTTGGTTGTGCCAAAGGTGCTTTTCCAAAAGGCAATTGGACTTGTTTTTTCTTTGAAAATGTTTCATTTCTCCCCCAAAAGGCTTCTTTGGTTAAGTGAAACTTTTACAAAGGAAAAACCAAGAAAGGTTTTGGGAAAAGCACCTTTGGGAAATTGACCCAGATCATATTCCTTTGCTCCACCAAGTCTTTCCTGCTTGCCTCTAACCATTGCTTTCATCTCCCTCTACTTCTTGCTGATTTGCTTTGCAGAAAGCTGACCTGGCAGTTGCTCCCCTCACCATCACCCACGTCCGTGAGAAAGTGATCGACTTCTCCAAGCCCTTCATGACTCTTGGGATCAGCATTCTCTACCGAAAGGCCAATGGAACCAACCCCAGTGTCTTCTCCTTCCTGAACCCATTGTCTCCTGACATTTGGATGTACATCCTCCTTGCTTACCTGGGAGTTAGCTGTGTGCTTTTTGTGATTGCCAGGTAAGGAACTTGCAAAAAATAAGCTTTGGGTATATAGTGAGAGCTTTCCCCTGAGCCTATGGATCGGCCTCTGTACCATATCAGACTCTCCCTCCCTTTCTCTCCCTCACTAGAAGGGGGTTTCACTCATATTTTACATGGTTAGGAGAGAAGAGAAGAGAAGGGCTGCACTACTAGCTTCCACTCTCTGACTAATAATTCTATCTCACCATCTCATAAAGTCCCCCCCCCCCTAATTTAAAGGAGGCAACCACAGTTCATGTTCTGACTAGGGATTTGGTCTAGTGGTTTCATCCATTTTCATCAATTCAGCCGCTGATGGCTTTGCTTAGAGTCTGTCATTGAAATAATTCGCCCTGCATCCTTGCTCAGTGCTTAATCATTTATGGCAGGTGTCTCCAAACCTTGCAACTTTAAGACTTGTGAACTTCAACTCCCAGAATTCCTCAGCCAGCACGAGCAACTCCCAGTCAGCATGGAGGAACTCCCCCAGCCAGCAGAATTCTGAGAGTTGAAGTCCACAAATCTTAAAAGTTGCCCGATTTGGAGACCCCTGATTTATGGGGAGACCCGATACAAATATGGGTGGGGCTGTAACTTCTGTGCTGCTTCTTCAACACCACTACTAGTGGAGGTGCAGGATCCCTTCTCCCTTGCATGTACTCTCTGACCATGCTTGGATGCAACTTGCCTTTTGGCTCTCCCCGATAATTGTTTGTTCAATCTAGGTCTGGGGACTAAGTGGCTCCAATAAATTCCCTTCCATTTTTACATGTGGGGTTGGCATTTCAGCTGTTGGGAAAAGGCATGAGAACTTCCCCAAGACTTAGTAGGTGACAGCTGCCTTTCTCAATAAGTAGCACCACCCTCAGTCTGGTCAGGTTCACTTCAATGCTGGTGGTCTGTAAGATGTGACCTTGACATGGATTACATGAGCAGCTGCTAGGAAATGAAAAAGAGCACGTCACAGAGCCCTACATGCATAGGCCAGGTTATCTATGGAACTGGCTTCACCCCATTACATCAGCTTGTCCCACTCATTGAGGGAGGAAGGCAGGGTTGAAGACAGGGATGTCATATTTCGTTGCTGGTCGCATCAGGGTTATGTTTGACCTCAGGGTGTGTGTGACCAGCTCAATGTTACTCGTATGGTGGTCAAGTGCTAAAGCAGGACTTCCCTCAGACCCTCCTTCCCTCTCATTATAACCTTCCTTCCTTTTTCCTTCCTTCCTTTTCTTCTTTTTCCTTCCCTCTTCATTCTTCTTTCTTCTTCCTTTCCAACCTTCTTTCTTTTTTTTGTCTTTCCTCTTTTCCTTTCTTCTTTCCTGTCCCTTTTTGGATGCTCAAATGCAAAAGGGAAAACATTTCTCCTTTTGTTTTGCTTTTAGTTTGTTTTGCTAGCCCTGTGCCAGAAAAAATGGAACCTGGGATGCAACGCAGTACCCCCCCCCCCCGCCCCTGGGCCCTATTTTGGCCACAATGGAGCCTCCATTTTCGCTGGCAGAGGGCTGCAGGAGGCCATTGCAGCAAAAAACAGGTCCCTCCCGAGCTCTCTTTTTGCTGGCAGAGGCACTGTGGGGCAGTCCTTCGCTGTTTCCAGGGCAGCCCCGTGCGCCAGATCTAAGCAACCCTGGCCCTTGAGTTTGACACCCTGGTCTAGGACTTGCCGCAGGACAGCTGGCCGCAGCCAACACACCACAGGAAAAGAGTTACAATAATATCAAAGAAAGGGTGGAGTAGAATCATTAAAGAAAGGATGCCAAAGGAGGGACAAAATGAAGTGTGAATGATTAAAAAGTAAAGTTTTAATTATTTCAGATAATTAAATTGAATTGCTGAATTATCCTGCAGCAAGTAGGCCAAGATGAGTTGTCCCATTCCAGGGAAGGCATGCTACAGAGCCCTCTGTCAGTGACTTCTGACTGGCAGGGTCAAGGAAGACAGCCTTTTCTGCTGCTGCCCCTGCGTGGTGAAACATCTTGCCAAGAGGCAAGATGGCGGTGCAGAAAGTCCCCAATCGCCTGACCTGCTATAAAGAGTCAAAACCTGGCTTGGTAACCTTGTATGGGGGACACAGGGGCCCACATAGCATGGGGCTGGATGGCCTCAGGAGATCTCCCTTCTCCCCAGGTGTCTGTATTAACAACAATCTCCCCATCTTGGATCTCTCCACCTCTTGCAATTTTATGTTGTTTTACATTTTAAAAAAAAATCTTAATCTGTTTTTCATTTTTTATTGTATTGATTGAATTGTACACCACCCAGAGCCCCCAGTAAGGGAAATGGGCAGTTAATAAGTTTGATAAACAAACAAATAAACCTTTGCCATCATCATCAGGACCAAAAAACAGACAATTAAAAAGATAGGCTGTGTCATGAAACTGGTTTTGTGACTCTACTCAGCATATACATGCAGAAACTTGCAATACTCCCCTCCCACAGATACACACACGCACACACACACACACACAAAGAGGTAGATTTTGATAAAAACAGTTCTACCCTCATGTAAATCTGCTAGTGGTCTGAGATGCAAAGAGGCGGATTTGGTTCAACTTCACAAAGTATTTCTACCTGTAAGTGCAGTTCAGTCCAGGAACCGCATCAGTTTTTGGAGTCCCGAATCCTGACTCCCAGCTTGAAAAGGAGGATGAATCAGTTGGGTTTGAGTTTTTCCAGGCTCCCTGTATCTTTAGGAATTTGCATCCTAGATTTCTCGAATTGGCTTTCCTTTGATCCCAATGGTGTCTCAAGGTCGGTTTTACTTTCCTTTTTTTTAAAAAAAAGGGGGGGGGTATTCTTCAGGCATATGT